ATATTGTATGTATGTTTTTATTTAATAATATATGAAAATTGTAAATAAAAATTATACAAAAAATTTATACACATAGCATTAATACTTTTAGATAATATAAAAAACATATAAATTATTTTCAAATATTTAACTTGAAAAAAAAGTTATACTAATAGTTATTTTAAAACAAAATAAATATCTATAAAAAAAACAAAAGAAATAATTATTCATTGCATTATTACGATTTTCTTTTTATCTTTATCAATTACTCCATATTTCTCAACATATATAGTAATAGAATTTTTGACGACATTTCTTAACATATACGTAGATAAAATTAATATTTCTTAACATATAGATTACTTCCGAGATTTGCTAACATAAAGATAAAAGTATAAATTGTCCATAGATTTGTAATCTGGAGGCGGAACAAAAAAGTTCAAGAAGGAAAGTAATCTAATACCATGGGATGGCCAGTTGATTTAGGTACCTAAACCCTTGCCCAGAAATTAAAAGAAACTTCTAAAGACAAAAAAAGTTCTTAAAAAGTGAGAGAAACATATCTGATGATGAGGTGAATCAACTACAACCACTACCCTAAGAAACTCTTTCTTTGACCGGACTTGTCTCATGTTGAAAACAATTAACGATCATAAAAGTTATTCTCGAGTCACAAAGTTTTTCATGAGAATTCTTAACATGTAAATAGAAAAATTTACAGTTTTATAGTTTATTATAGTTTGAATTGTTACATTAATATGTAAAATAATTTTTCCTAAATGAAAACATAAAAAAAGGAAAAAGAGTAAAAAAATAATAATAATAATCTAATACCATGGGATAACCGGTTAAGTGCAGGGTTAGAGTCGGTTCTGTTGTCTCTCCTTTTGAAGAAAAAGAAAAAGAAAAAGAAAAAGAAAAAAACTGTGTCCGATATCGAGTATGATTTGGAGACGGTATATATGGAAGCACTGCCTTACCGCATTCTCCCCTCTCCTTATAAATAAATCGACAAACTATCACAACCCCCAAACCAACAGACACCACAGAAAACACAGCAAGTTTCCGAAATTCCGATGGCCGGTCTTCAGTACTACTTCTTCCCCACCGACTTCTACTACCCTCGCGCCGAGTCCGTCCCTTCAGAAGGTACTCGCAAACCGACGGTGGTTTCTTTTCCTACATCGAAGAAGACAGAGGCGGCCGCTGACGATCTCCAGAAGCCAAACAGGGGTAACGTTTCGTTGCGCCGGGGAGTGGAGGGACAAGATGGGCAAAAACTCGTTATGAATACCCAGAATTCGATTTCTTCGTTGCTTTTGAGTTCGAAAGATTTGTCTGGTTCTTCTTGAATGGTGTTAAACTAGCTAGTAACCGCATCAAAAGTTAATTTTTTTTTAAATTTCAATTATATATGTTTTTACATGAATTTTGAAGACAGTAATCCAATACTGTTTTTTCTTTAATTATACGGTACACATATATCTTTTTCCTAAATCTGTCGTCAGGTCGAACTATCATTGAGATACTCTTCTTAATTCCGCACTAGTTACATTCGAATTATTGAATTAATTTTTCTAACATGTCTCTTATAGTGCAAATTTTTTTATTATTAATTTATATAAAAAATAAAAATTTAGTTTTATTCACTATTCAATTAAAATATTTCATGTGACACTGATGTTAAAAATAATTAAAATATATTTTTATAATTTTTTATACAAATTAATAATAAAAATATAATAAATACGTTATTAACTGTATAGATTAAAAAAAAAAACCTTCTTGAATTTATCTTTAATATTAAGATTTTAAAATTATGAACACTAAATAAAATTTAAATAATTTAATAATAATATCTTTTTAATAAAAATATATATTAGTTTCAAAATTTTAAAATATAAGGGAAATGGAAAGATGTTGCATCCTTCCATTTTCTTCGCATCCCCTCCCTTTTATTTGAAAAAGTTAAAAGAATTGAAGGAATTTTTAAAAATAGAAAAATAAAGAAAAAGAGTTGCACGCACGCAAGAGAGAAAAAATATATAGAATTAGAGATGGACAGTATTGTTTATAGTGAACTAAAATAAAAGAAAGAGAACTAACGACTTAAATAATTTTATGATTTTTTTTTATTAGAAGTAAAAAATTTTGAATTCGAGTTGTATGATATATAAGATAAGGAATGAGAGATAGTTGTTTTTAATTGTGTAATCAAGATAAAAAAAATAAAAAAAATAAATAAAAAAAAGAGAGAAAGGGAAGACCAAGATGCGTTAAAATCGTTCAACTATAATTATTAAATATATGAAATATAATATAAGATTTAATTTTATTAAATTTATCATGTAATTATTATTAAATATTTAATATTTTTAATACTAAAATATCTTAATTTTTTTATCATGTAATTATTATTAAATATTTAATATTTTTAATACTAAAATATCTTAATTTTTT